AAGAGCAAAATATGTTCATATAATGTCTTTTACATCAGTGGTTCTCAAACTTTCCACAGAGTAGCACTTAAGAAAATATCTGGCCTTCCGAGTACTAGATCTAGACTATTTGCTCTAAACTTAATTATGTATGTTACCTAGTCTATTGCTATGTACTATTTCTAAACATGGCATAGACTGTGTAAAGAAGGGGAATAAGGGAGTGTGACATCACCCGTAGCGTTCGGTTCCAGTCAAATGAAGCTCGTGAGGCTAGCAGTTATAGGGGTGGATTTGGACCAGGGTTCCATACTGGAAATAGGAATTGATTTACAGACAAAATAGCGAAATAAAAACACCAAGGTGGTACTTGTACAATTCGTTCTTTTGAATTTCAATTAAGAACGAACAACAGTAAACTGGGAAAATGGTTTGTTATTTCATTATTCCATTTTAGTGTCAAACACACTTTTATTTAAAATAACTCCAATCAAAAAAGTTATCATGCCTATTTTAATTTTGATATTTTATTCTCTCTGGTTTATTTGCCCCGGAAGTTCTGCTGCTTAGCACGCCGCTTGTGAATTCAGTGTCAACCATGAATTTATAATAAAAATATTTTTATTATAGTTCTATGGTGTCAACTGAACAAAGTTTATCGCTCGTTTATTCTCATGGAGTTTAACAATGACTTTCTAAGACGTGAAATTAAACGTGTCACTATAAAAAAGATTTTTTAGGTAAGTCCTTCTAGCAGCAGAACTTCCGGGACAAATAAACAGAGAGAGAGAACAAAATATCAATATAAAAAAACACAGAGACTGTTTTTTAATTGGTGTTATTTGGATTACTCCAAATATTGGAATAAATATTGGAAATTGAGGTTGAAATCTGTTTTGTTTTTTTGTTTGTTTTTTTTGACACTAAAACTGAAAAATGAAATAACAAGCTGTTTTCCCATTTTATTGTTTTTCATTCTTAACTGAAATTCAAAAGAACGAATGGTACACGGACCCAGGATCATGTAGAGGGGGTTAATACGAACATTTTAAGACCAAAATGAAGAGCCTGATAGCAGTAATTACAGAGAGTCGATGGAGCTGATGGAACCGGAAGCGCCCCCATACTCACTTCCTATTTGGAATGCAGCTGCTAGTGGGTTCACTATGTCCATTTATATACACAGTCAATGAAACAAAGAGTAACCCAACAGAGGACGTAAAAGTGGATTCAATCGATTACATTTAGCAAAATATTCAAAGATACAAACTGCAGCCACAGGAGGGCAGTAGTAACCAATAGATACTTTTTTTTTCATCTGTGTATTTCCTCAGTCATCCAAATGGCGAAGCATTTACACCTGAATTCACAGTTTCACAGTGGCAAAAAAATAGATTGTTACATCACTTCGCAAAGCATTATGGGATACCACCTTAGACAAACAAATTCTAAAGCAAAGTGGCAACCATAATAGCAAGCAATCACAACAACATAACAACCATCTCATTTCCAGCTCTAAGTTCTTCATAACTTGTTTTTTTTTCATGCAAAATATGTGGTTTTAGAAATGTTTACAGAGTTTAGGTTTGTCTGATGTTATCATACCATCTAAAGTGGGCTATGACGTTATGTAAGGGCTGTTATCTATTTCTTTAAAGGTGCACTATGTAACTTTTTGGTTTCTGTGGATATGGCAGTGCTTTTGAATGTTCCACAATATGACATTAAACAGATCTACCGTACATTTATTCAATCACAGGTGGGTTTATTGTTCAAAAATGCCTGCAAAAACAAGTATTCTGGATGTGAGCGGGGTTGCCTCTCCATAGATCTGACCTGTAACTTGACCTGGTTTGGTGTCCGTGATGATAAAAGAGTTTAATGTCATACTGTGAAACATTTCAGGCAAAGCGATGGGGGAAAGAAGATGACGGACTCCCCATCAGAAAAGCTACACAATGCACCTTTAACAGATCAAATTATGACTTCGTGGAGGACTTTCGCTTCTACTTTCCAACACATTGTTCGTATTCCTTCAACAAAAACGATTTTCTTTTCTTTTTATTTCTTTCAAATTGAATCTGCCACGTGAATCTAAGTCCCTGTTTGTTGCATTGTCATGTCTCTGTCATGTGGAGTGAACCAAAGTGAGCCTTCTGCATGTAAACAACAATATTCAGAGACAGCTACAGACTACTGCTGACAACTACTTCTAAAATAACAATGCAGTGTTTTGTACTTCAAAAAAGATACCGTATAGGTTTTTCCTATTCACAGGACATATGCATAAGTGAATCATTACAATCTGTTGCCTATGTCATGTAGCAGCAAAAGAGCAAAGAAAAGAGCATCGAGTGTGATATGTGATAAAGAGACCAGAGGCGGTGAAAGTGTGAACAGGCAGTTGTCACATTCACAAGTATCAAGTCATATACCAGCTATAACAGCAGATTATTTGTAAGTATTTACCATTAATGTATTGTTTTATTTACTAAGAAAATAAAACCTGAAAAAATCTGAAATGTAAAGAAAAAAAAAGGGAAACTTGTATACATTTTGGTAAATTGTGTTAATCCTGTTGAAAGCTTTTTCAGCAGTGCCAAATATTTAGTAATGAGTATTTGTTTTGTCCTTGTGTCTACTTTCACAAATGTATATAATTTATACAGTGTGTACCTTAACATGATTCCATGGAAATACAAAGTTACAGACTCAGGTTTGTGGAGAGGCAAACCCGCTCACAGTAAGGACACATGGTTTTCTTTGTTCTGTCTTCTATCTTGTACAATAAACACACTCAAAATTTAAAAACATGCTTTTATTTTAGTTTATTTTGCGGCTAGAAAGTTACTGTGGCATTAAATATGTGAGAATAAATTGTAATTTCTTTAGTTATTTATCTAAAATTATGCAAAACTATTGTTGATTACTATTATATTATTGCTTTTTTTTCATATATTAATTTAAACTGTATGCTTATGTATCTGAACTTATTGGCAACCACTCATTTTTTCTGTTTTGTGATTCTATCTTCTCTCTAACTTAGTGTGATAATAATGATCTCACTTTATCGAACTGACAGTGCCAAATACCAGCTGGAGTTCTGACAGTGTAAGACAATGCCCCGCTGGTCTCCATCAGAACACTGGTACATTTAAACATCATTTATCTCTGATTTCTTCTGCGGGGGCATGACAAAACCGTGACGCCAGGTAATATGACTCATCTCCTCTGTCATTAGATCAAAATAACATTGAGTTTTATGTTTCCCAAATGCCAAGAGTTGAATGCGAGGTGAATTTTGACTTTTATTCTAGGCATTTGAAGATTCTGACGTCATGATTTCTTGTCTCCTTGTCTTCTCTGGATAACATCATGGGCTAAAGCTCAGTCACTTTTAATCACACACTCTCCTTGTGTAGAGCTTCCAGGGAAGAGGATGGAGGAGTGATGAGAATACTAAATACAAAAGCGTACTTGCTCATGATCATGCATTGACCTTATAAGATATCTGGAATATGCTACAAAACAAGTTGAACTGATTTTCTCATCAAAACAAGTAAAAATAGGTTCCATTCACATTTTTTTTTTATTTGATTATGTCATACTCTCAGATGGTGGGTGAATGCCTGTGTAGCTTTTTGGAAGATTTCATGTTTTTGTAACAAATGTTGAACCTTATCATTATCACAAAATAACCGTATAATGAATTTCATGGCTTAAAGTCCTTGCAACTGACAGCAATCACAGCTTTGGGGTTGAATAATTGCACAACTTTCAAAGCTCTTCTGAAAAAATTACTTCTCATTTGTTTACTTGTACTGACAGAGAAGTCGCTGAACTTGGGTCAATTTTGTTTCGTGTGGGTAGCCCTAGTAATTACAGAGATCTTAACCACAAACCAGGTCAACAAATCTGCAGTGTGAAAGTTTAACAGCAAATTCCACCAACGAATTCTAACCTGTGCTAAATGTTATACTGTAGGGATAGAATGTCACGTGAACTCAACAAAACCCCTTATTTTTTCTCCCTTTATTAATCAACACCAAGTAAAGTTACACCTTATTTTTGAGTTGAAGTCTGATTTTTAAAAACTTGATTGCTGCATAGGATAATATCTTTGCGTTACAATCCGCTGAGTCCCCCCTCCTCTTCCTCCAAGTCAAATAAAAGTAAGTATCTCCATAGAGAGACATGGGAGCAGGCAGCAGCAGTGACATACAGCACGCCTCAGGGCTCCTTCACTGAGCATCAGCACTGACACAGTCTGTCTATAGAAACAAGACGGGAACGGGGGCTCTGGTGTAGCAACACTGACATCTTCTGGACACTTGTGGAACAGCAGATCAACAAGTTCAAATATGAGAAGCTGACTAGTGTGTTTGTTTAGATTCAAATAATTCAGTACACTACACATTTTTCTCTCATAATAATAATAATAATAATGGTAACTAATTATCAAACTGAAACTGATTAAAAGAGCTACTATTTGTCTAGATCTGATTTTGATTGCATGCTCTTATTTTACTGTTCTTGAACTTTGCGTTGCAACAGTGTAATTTCCCCATTGTGGGAAATTTTTTTAAAAAGAATACAATAATCCAATACAACCATCACTTCTGTAAATTGTGTATACATAAATATGGTACGCCTCAGTGAATTGAATATGGGGAAACTGTAGTGAGTAATAACATGATGTAAAATATTTGTTTAGTATAATTATTGAGTACAATGCATAACTTACAACACTGGCATATGAATAAGGCTACACCTCCTTTTGGCCCATGTAGTTTTATCATTTTGTATGTATTTATTTATTTATTGCACATGGACTGCCTTGGCTGTCACGTCTTGTCAAAATAAAAATAAAAATCTATAAAACTAGTAACTAAAAACTCGCTAAAGCACACGTTTGCGATCACTTCGTTTATGCTCATAACATAATGCATAGCAGCTTGTGTTTAATGATCCGTGTCCCATTATCTCTCTTTGGCCAGCAGGGGGTGGTGATTACTGTATTGGATCCGTGAACAACTGTCACAACACCCCCGAACATAAAAGCACGTGTGGACTGAGCATGCGCACTTCGGAGCCTCCTCTGCACTGTTTACATGGGAATGGTGAGCAAAAATCTAACTTTTTTACAACAACAGCTTGATTTTCACTTCATCTGTTCAGTTCTTATAGCAAATGGTACAGGTTTATGCTAGCCTTGCAACTGTATTTCCATGCATATGCTAATACAATTAATTATAGCTGAAGGCACCATATGAGCCTAGTTAAACAGCATTTGCACTCAGTTAATTAGCCTAATCTATTTTACATTAGCAGTTATTCTGAAAACATATTGGACTAAACTTGAACTGCACCATGACTTAAAAACTAGGACTTAAACGTGTTTGAACAACCAGCTCATTAACCAGTTATAAACCAAATGAGTAAATCAGGACTAAAACAGATTTAAAGAGCCACTATGTAACCTTTCTGGTGGAGGGTCCGACACCTTCTTGTCTCCATTTATGTTAGTTTTGTCTAGAATGTTCCATGTATGCATTAAATGTCTATTTCCATGGAGACAAAGAGGTGTTGTCAGCAGGCTAAGTTACAGGTTAAATTTGGGAAGAGGCAAGCACACGCAGATTATGATATAAAAAGAGCAATAATAACACCTTAAATAAATGCTACATAAATAAGTTTAATGTCACACAGTGGAACATTCCAGGCCAAGAAATTACATCTCTGTGGATACAAGCAGACACCAGAAAAGTTGCACTGTGCTGCCACTCCTGCTACACTTTTTTATTGTTTATTGTAGTTGCTAAATGCTTTTTATCATGCTTTTCTCCATGAAGATGTTGTTATTGCTTTGTCTGAGATGTTCCACAGTATGGTATTAAACCTTTCTATATTCATGGAGATCAAACCAGACCAAGTTACAGGTCAGATCTGTGGTGAGGCAACCCCACTCACAGTCAGAATGTCTTTTTTTCTAGGTATTTTTGAGCTATATCCACCTGTAATTGAATAAATGTAAGGTAGAGCTGTTTCATCTCATATTGTGGAACATTCCAGGCAGAGCAATGACATCTCCACAGAAGCGAGCAATTGATGGACCCCCAACCGAAAAGTTACATGGTGCACCGTTAAAGTAGTATTAAATATTTAGTATTTATTATCTTATTTTAATCACTGGGCCTTGAAGAACAAATTTCATTCTGTCATGTGTTGCATGCTGAAAGAACCTTGAACTTTGATCCAGCTCTAAATTCAGACTTTTACATTACCAAACCTGTCCTGAACCAGGTGTAACTAACCTACAGAAAACCGCTTTATAACCAGCACATTTTGAATTACCTTGCCTCTGCTGCTGTTGCTCAGGTGCTTGTTCCTGATGGAGGCTGTCCCAGGAGAACATGAGGAAGTGGAGGCAGAGGGAGCCATGCTATGGACCCTCCAGGAGGCTGTGGAGAGGCAGACTCTGCAGATTGGGGTGTCTGCGTGTGGGGCCACAGCTGTAGTGGACGTGCTCAAGGCCCTGGGGATAGAAGCGGCCCCAGAGCAGGTGGATCGCTGTGTGCAAACCAGACTGAGGAGGAATGAGTCTCCTCTGCCTGACTATCTACTGTCCAGGAGCGAAGCAGGTACAGCCAATAGAACACACTGAGATTTATAAAAGAGTATTTAAATGTTTTATGCTTGGAATATTATGCTTTTTATGTTATTCTCTCATCAAAAACATGCCTGAAGAGGTTTTAGATGTCAGGCCAAGCATGTGTCAGTAATTTGGTGATTTTTCCCAGGCCCTGTTTGAGCACTTGTCATGGTTAGCTGTAAGTTTCTTTCCAATGCTCAGCTCACAATGCTTCATAAATATAGAAAAATTATTAAAAATTATACACAGCAACTTGACAAACCTGATGAGATGTGCTGTAGTGTCATTAGCAGGATGTGCGCTGATTGTGTTGTGATCGCGCTCTGAAGGGGGAGTGATTTAACGCAGAGAGCGAGGGGAGTGGGACTTAAAAAAATACTCCATAGAGACAAACAAGTCACGTCACATATCCAAGGTACAGGTGAGAGCTGTGGAATAGGGTGAAAAGGAAAAAAAGATAATCAATTTGAAAATTTTTCTGTAGTTTAGTCACGTAGAAGTAAGAAAAAATATATTACAAATTTTCATCATGTGTTGCTTTTATATAAAAATAATGAATTTTATGTGTATATTGTTGTCATATTAGATACTAAAACTATATAGAGGGCATTTTGGATATGTTACGTAGTATTTGAGTAAAGTCGATCTGACTGAAAATTGGTGGAACAATTCTAATTTTGCCTCATTTTTTGTTAAAATTTGAATAAATCAGATTTGGAATTAGATATCAAAAACTTCTGTACATTTTGTCACAATCTTGTTAAGTACAACAGTGTAAAGTTTGGGGTTTGTAGGTGATACTTTAAGGGATGATCCTTAACAGCCTTTGCAGTTACAATGCCCCACATACCTTTGTGAATTCAAGTTAAATAAAATTCTGAAATACATTTCAGTGCAAGACAACTTTGGTGTTTCCAATGGAAAGCTTATATGATAAGAGACCAAATATGAGACCAAACCGATCAAAAAAAACAAAATAAAAACTCCCCTTATGTACTTGAGTGTTTAGCAATATGACACTGAAATCCCACTCATTAGCAATAGACATATGCAAATTGTAACTTTATAATACACAAGCGTAAAATAAATTAGACAAACGTACACTGTGTTCAATTCAAACTTCCACTTGTTTCAATCCGCAGAGTCAAGAGCGCCCTCATTCTCGCTCCTGGATGACAGCCTGAACTAACTGTCTGCGAAGTCGATATAAAAATGGTGTAACCGAGCTGAAAAAGTCAATTACAGCGTCTCCTTTGAGAGGCATAAAACTCTTTGTCTAATTCGAGTGGGTACTTTGTGGATTTGTGTGCGCGTGGCGGAGCAGTCAGCTGTCACACAGGGAGGGGAGGCAGACAACGGCAGGTTTTATAGCTCAATAGAAGATACTCTCCCATCTCATTCGCCATAGGAGTTATGGTCTATCAGCATCAGTGGTACCTGGAATAAAAAGTGCACCGGGTTGGAGGTATTGGCACTTATGGGAGCTGTGTGTGTTAATATTTTATCAGCTCAAAATGTCGCTGAGCAGCTTTTGAGTGAAGACAGAGTGCAGTATTATAGGGTTAGTGCTACTGAGCGTCTCCAGTGATAAGAGCGTAAAGGACTTCTAAGTCTTCTTTCTCGCATTTTGCCTCATAAATATTTTTTGCTGTATTTTTGACATTGTTTCAATAATTTTGGGTAAAAATGACAAAACTTATCTCAGATGAAGCAAATACTCATACTGGGGCAATTTTCGTTAAATTTTCAAGCTTTATCTCGTATATAAAAAGAATATGACTGTAACCCTTTGTTTGGAAAGTGGACTGAAAATCAAGCCAAGTCCATAAACAAAACCAGTAGTATTCATAATAGCAGAACGCTTATTCTGATCCAAAACCTCTGCGGTACAAGTGCTGATTTAAATTGCAAAAAGTACACATTGGAAAATGATAAATACACAATATAGTGCATACATATTTGCACCATATATACAGTAACTCTATTGTCTGGCTCTAAAACCAACAAAACAAACTGTCCCATAGGTCTCATAATACATAATAATTGTAGGTTTTCTCGAGCAGTTTTTTCACCAAGTTTTTTTTTTTTATTATTATTTTTTAACATTGTGAAAGTTTTAGTGACTTCCCTGGATTTCTGAAAAAATATTTGTATTTGTAATTTGTAGTTTCTGATGCACCAAAGTGATTAAAAAGACAAGCTTCATAAGTGGTCTACTTTGTGCAACTGGGAACTCTAACCTCATTATCTTACATTAACCCCAAAGATGAGGCAAGATCATTTGTACTTGCGTTATACTTGCCATTTGAGAAAATACTCTAAAATAAACAAGTTTTTCCTCACTTCAAGATAAAGAGATTAATACTGCATTTGTGTACTTTTTGCCAAGGTTTAATTTTTATCATTTTATCACACGCTTAACACTTTCTCTCTTTTCATTTACAAACAAAACATTGCAAACACCTAATTTTCACATGATATGAGCCAAATGTGCCAACGACCCTTTCCCCCTTTATTAAACCAATTACTAATTTACGCTCAAATTAACACTTCTCCACTTCTCACATTCGAAACAGCTTGTGCAGTGTTGTGTGAGGATAATAGAGCGGTATCGTGAGGAGATATAAAAATAAACAGGAAAGTATGAAGAATAATAATCAATGCTCAGAGGCTGGAAATCGTTGGCTGTTTATTTGTGTGTAATTACTGCCGTCGTCAATAACACCAAAGGCAGCCGTTTGTGTCGCCAAGGTGACGTCTCTTTTAATTAGAGCGCTGTAATTCAGATCATGGACTACTTTACTAATGATGATAACCAAGATGTGTCTGCTGACGAGTAAATAATGACAAGGTTGTTTCAAACGCTACATCTGCATTTCATCAATACATGTTTACGGTACATAATAATTAGAGTATAGCATGTAGAGGAAGTAATGAAAAGTAATGAGGCTGTATTTGAAAAGTTGGGAAACACTGAGACTGAAATTAGATATATTTTAAAAATCAATATTCAGTCCACAGTGCACTTTTCAAACATATCTCGAAATGCCTCATTATTTGTTTGATAATGATATAATTACATAAAGGAAACAGCATTATTTTTTTCATCTTGTTTTAAGGTATAATATAACTTTCGGGAGGTGGTACATCACTTGCATGATTCCACGGAAATTAGGGTTGTCAAAAGTATCGAAAATCAGACACTAATCAATTCTAAAAGCAGTATCGAAACTAGATACTCATTTGAGCAGGTATTAAAAAGTCACATTAACGCAACAGAAATGAATCTTTTCTGAAAAGTTTTAGATTTATCTTGAGCTGTATCAGAAAAAGTATAAACGCACATAGACGCCCGTGAACACTATGGAACCTACTTGAATGACTGAGGGATTACACAGATATACGGATACATGGCAATATAAAAGAAAATACTACGATTTAACGTTGAAAATAATATTCTAAAGAGAGTCTAAAGACAGTAGGGATGTAAGAGTAACTGAAATATTGTGATATTGTATCGTCAAAGTTCTCATAATAATATCGTGGACCATCACAATATATCAAACTACATGTCTCTTTGCTAAAATTTGCTAAAGAAATAAAGCACTTTTAAATCTTAGTTCTTTGGATTAAGTTTTGTCAAGGCATTTTAAGAAGAAAAAGTATTCACAGTTTTGTTGCCTCCACAAAATATCACAATAAATATCGTACTGTGAGATGTTTATCGTGAAAGTATCGTGCCAAGAGATTTGGATATTGTTACATCCCTAAAAGAGTGTCAAAAGTTAAAAACATACTTTGGAACATTCTCTATGGATATAGATACATTTTATACCATACTGTGGAAAATTGGAGCCATAGGAACTACATTTCTATGGAAACAAGCAGGAGGAAGCCAAGTCAGAGTCAGGTTTGTGGAGATGCAAGCCTGCTCACTTTAATATCCATCGCAGCAATTAGTCAAACTTGACACTGCTGCTTTCTTTCACATGCACAGACGCACAGTTTTTTTTTCTGAATACATATGTTTGTGGTGCCCCTGAGCAAGATATTTCACCCAACTGGAAGTGCATCTGGTGTGATTAGTCTGTTCTACACACTCCTGTTTAAAATGATTTAAACATTCTTCCATCCTTTGTAGGCGCCACTCACACCCAGCTCATCTCCGGAGCAGAGGAAGCCAGCGAGGGGAAAGTGATCGGCCGCTTCTTCCACCTGCACCCTCCTCGCCGCGTGCCCCTGGTCAGATGGCTCGCCCACTGGGTCCGGAGAGGGGCCGTTCCTGTAGCAACCATGAACATGCAGAGGGCTGTGCCGAAGGGGGAGGAGGTGCCTGACGCCTGGCACCATCAGCTCATATTCGGAGTCCTGAGGAATGCAGTGTTCATGGCCAACCCTTTAGATGTAGGCAAGTATGAACATGTGTGGTGTTTTGCATACAGACAGATGTAATGTTACAGGAGTGCATCATTTATTTTGAACAAGCGGAAGAGTGCAATAGTGTTGTCACGATAGTAAAATTTCAAGCTTGATCAGTACCAAGAAATAGACTCAAAACCAATTTTTTTGACTGATATCTGATATCTGATATTTGTCCTGCTGTTGTGGCTGATAACTGATACTTCACATTTTTTCTTAGCAATTTATTTATTTAATGAGACAGGGACAATGCACATTTTACATTAACCTTAACAGAAGACATGCATTGTGCCAGGTTGTAGCAGCAGTACCAAATCACAATCACAAATTAACTTTTCACTTACACTGTAACACTCTTCTGTTTCCATTTTGACAAATCGAATCTGTTCACAAAGTTCACACTGAGAATGTGGGTGCGAAATGTGTTCCATAGTTGTTCATGGGCGTATACTAGTGTGGTTTTATACTTGTTCTGATGCAGCTTAAGATCATTATAAAGCTATTGTAATGTATAGTAATGTATAGTAATGTGACTTTTTAGTATAGATACCTGCTCAAATGAGTATCTACTTTCGTATCATTTAGTATCTGATTTTCAGTACTTTTGCCAAACCTAGAGTGCAGTGTTTCTCAAATTGTGGTACAGAAACTCCTTCTGGTGGTATGCAAGGTGCTCTATAGTGCTTATATTTGCTTAATTCTGAGTAAAATGTATCCGCCTTTGGATAGTTTTCTTGGTTATAGGTGCAATGATGTAGTCCAATTTTGAACATAATTTAGCACCAATTCAAGTCCTGTTTTAGACCTGGTTTAAATCTGGAAAGTCCAATGTTTTCTTAGGTGTACTTGGTATGAAAGTAAGTGTCCTTAAGTGTACTGAACCGACAGATTATATATCATAGATTACTGATATTAGCTGGTACTTTTATTTCTGATTTTTAGATAAGATAGTTGAATAAAATAGTGTCACACGCTTTGCAAACTGCATGTTGATATTTCATAATATTTTTGTGAAACATACTAGTATATATTATACGAGTTTGGTGATATCAATTCAGTGCTTTTCTGTTAAATGTAACTCTATGCTTTTCCCCATCTCTTCCCTCATTGGTCAACCTCAGTCATGCTCGTGTGATTGACAGATGGATTTAATCAATTTTTAGTCAAGTGTGAACTCTCAGAAGAAACAGATGGCTAGTGACATCTTTAAGGAAATATAACGATATAAGGTGTACGTGAACCGTGCTAAAAGTCAAAATTGTGATCTGGCTCTGTGAAAAAGGTGGTAGTGTAGTATTTGTCATTTATTTTCTCAAACTTGGGGAATTATATTTTGTTTTAACCTTGCTCTTTTGTGAGGACTTCATTATCATGGTGTTCAGGGAATAAAGTACAAAATTCAATTCCGTACATTCTGCCATTTCCTAATTTAAAATTCTGAAGTGCTTTTGAGTAATTGTGCTTTTGTGTTACAGTGAGTGAATCAGAAATCCATGAGCGTCTGTGCAGTGAGTCTGTTCTGTTGGTGCGAAGAGAAGACGTGTTACAGCGGCTGACTCCAGACTGCTCCTTATCAGAACTCTCCCAAAACCAGTCTGACCCACGCTGGAAGACCCTGGATGTAGAGGGTATTATATTTTTATACTTTACTTGTTCTTGTGTGATATTGTTTCATATGATAAAAATATCTAGAGATGTAATTTCTTTATATTCAAGCTGATTTCATTTATTTGTTTGAATATGTAGTCTGTCTCCTTCTAGCCTTTGCAGGAGTGGGTAAAGAAGCCAAAAATTGTGAACAAGTAAGAGTAATGTTGCTTCAAAATAATTTTACTCAAGCAGGAAGTACAAAGTAGTGCTTCAAGTAATTAAGTAAGAGTAAAAAATGATTGGGAAACTACTCAAGTGAGAGTAACTTAAAGAGTAACTGTCGGAAAGTAACGTCTGATTTATAATTTAAAGTTTGTGTAATTTGAAGGACAAAATAAATAATGCACAAAATCTGGTATTTTCAAAGGTTAGACACAAAAATGAGGAAAAACTAAATCGTATCTGAAGGAGAAGTGCAAGAAATACAAATGTTCAAATAATTTCATAATAGAGTTACACACATTGGGTAGAGTTACCAAAACTTTTACTCAAGTAAGTGTACTGTTACCTCAATACAAATATTACTCGAGTAAGAGTTAGTGCTGCTAGAAAAGTACTCTGAAAAGCTCAATTTCTTTTAAAAGTTAGTGAGTAAATGTAAGTGAGTACACCCCTCTAGGTATGTCATCTTGTTGATAATCACTGAAGCTCCATGTTTTTCCATACTCCTGTACAAGACTCCTTTGTCAGTGCTCAGATTGCCTTGACATTAGCTTTGGTTCAATTCCTTCATTCCACAGTGCACCAGAAGAGTATAAAGCAAATCTAGCTCAGGGCAGAATACATTTCTAACTTCTCAGTCCAGTACCTTCAAATTGAAAATGACTTCCGGATGGCAGTCGAAACGTCTCCATTTCATAAACATTGTCCAGATGACTACCTTCTTGAAACTTTTCTTACCAATAAGCATATAAAAGTTTAAAGGTCCTATATTGACTCTTGTGAGCTTTAAGCCTTGTTGGAATGTTGTTATCGCATCAAAAACATACCCAGAGTTGTTTTTTTTTGTTTCATTCACATGAGTAACCCCTTTATTATTAGTCTGTCTGCTTTTCCATAGCTCAAAATGCTCTGTTCCACCTTGTGAAGTTAAGAGCTACTTTTTACCTTTTTGTTCAGGAGAGATTGGCAATTCTTGGGCTGAAATCATCCAAATGATTCTAATGAAAGTTTATGGAGTTTAAAAACACAGTTGAACACTTCTTGTATTACCACATGACATCACAAGGTTGAACAGAGTATTTTCAGTTTGAGAGAATATGTAAGGTTTGTGTGTTAAATGTGTGTGAATGAAACAAAACATACAACTCTATGTATGTTTGTGGTAAGTAAACAACACTGTAACTATCAGAAAATAGCGGACCTTTAAAAAGAATTCCATAAGGGAAGTGATTTGACAGCCTCATCTACATGCAGGACCAAGCTGAGGTGTACAAAGAGAGTTCAAAAGTCAGTATAATATAAAATCCTTATTCAAACTACATACTCAATATAATTTGCTTGTCTGACTCCAGGTCAAGTGAAGCGGATGGCGGAAGAGCAAGGACCCAAGCTAACATCTCACATCACCATTCCAGCCGCGTACAAGTCTGGGATCACTCTGTTCGCCCAGCGCCACTCTCCAACGGGACAAGAACTTCTCAGCAGCTCCGAACTGCCTCTGTGCGCAGACTTTTAAAACGCCTCAAACACCAAATGTGAAATTCAAGAACTTATTTATTTAACGAAAAGGCAGGATTGATGAAAGTGTGGTAGTGTTTTTACATGGGGTTTTAAGTGCAATTTTATCAGAACACACTGCTGTTGTTTTTTAATGGTTTATTTTAATCTCAGGGTTGTTCAGTTTGTGGCCCAAGGATTAGTCATGGCAACGTCTTATGTAGCCTTCATGTTTTCCTTGTTGGTTTGTCATACATTTTGAATCAGATGCCCTTCTCAAATGGAATCTGACAGTTTTCCGGACTTGGGATAAGAACCATTGAGACCTTCTGTAACTGGTTCTTACTACTACTACTACTACTACTACTACTACTACTACTACTACTACTGCTACTGATAATTTTACTATGTTTTTTTTTACCTCCCAGTCTTCAGCCGTTACAATGGAGACACAATGTACACAAACACAACCAGAAAAAAGTTTACTGAAATCTGAAATGTCAAGAAAAAATATAAAACAGATTTAAACAAAACATTTTCAGAAGCCTGTGATCAATATGACCATTCATGAAGGTGAGAAGGACTAACTGAAAAATTGTTGCCTGTGCCAGCTAGATTGTGACTGGAATCTTATTTGAGAGTCTTGTTTAAAAACTCAAACCAGCTCGCCTGTTGTAGTTTCAGTATTGTCAGTTTTGTTATGGTCAGCTGTGGAACAAGCCTCAGATCAAACTTGAATAACTGACCTTCAGACAGAGCAGTACCTCTAGTTAGATTCACACTCCAAGGAATATTGAGCTGCAAAAAAACAATAGATGCAGATTTGTTGACTTGGTTTGTGGTTAATATCTGTAATTACTGGGCCTATCCAGATGAAACTAAATCTAGCACAAAGCTCAATGTCTTTTTCTGTGAGATTAAATGAACAAGAATGAAAACATGTTTTCACAAAAGCTTCCGAAAGTGGCACGAAAAGCAATTAGATAGATATGGCAAACAAACAAAACAAAACTTTCAGCATTTGTGGGTATTTCTTTCAATCACAGCATATCTTCTATTGAGTTATACAGCCCTGTGCCCTTTGTCTGAACTTATAGATTTTACAATGTGAACACAACTATTTTCAAGTCAGATGTCAATATGTCAACAAATAAATAATTCAAGCAAAACAACAATCTTTACCCAGCTGTTCCTGCCCTTGCGTCTGTCATTCTAAATATATTCCCTGACAGTATTATCTGTGAGGAGTGACAGGGGAATACCTGCGTGGCTGCTCTCATCATTCTCCATTATAACCAGTGCACACAGCTGTCTGCTTAACTTTCACATTGACTTTGAGAGTGTATTGATTTCTGTCTAAAGCGATAAGTGGCAGCTCCAGCTCATATTTCAGGACTGTTACATGAATCTCTTATGGGAGAGGGGAGATCTGATCCAGAGCTGTGTGGTATTAAACATGATGGGGACTATGGAGATAGAGGAGGACATGCGAACAGAAGTGATATGAGAGCCAGATGTGTAATGCTCTTCTGAAATATCCCACTCAGGCAGGAGAGCCACTTTGACTAATCGCCTCCTGTCCCACCGAATATGTTGTTCGTTATGATAGAACTGTTTTACACACCATTTTAAGAGGCTCTTCCAAATAACACTTGATGTGGTGTGCTTAATGTTGATAAATATATTTTTAATACCTACAAACTTACAGACAGAAACAGGCATGT